TAGAGTGCTCACCTTGAGATGAAGAGCTGAGGGACAGTGCCTAGACCCAGAATTCAAGCCCCACAACCAACCAAAAAATCAGTTCAAAACAGATTTCTAAAAATGATCAGGTTTATAGTATTATCCTTTTTGCACAGTAGTTGGGTTCTCTGGGGGGCTTGGAAGGTTGGCTTTCCTCTGTATTATTTCTGAAATAGTAACCCTTAGAGTGGCATTATACAAAGGCTCTTTTAACTATGCTCTATTTTTTCTTTTCTCTTTCTTTATGCACATTCTTCACTTCTATCACTGTCCATTCTGTACTTGACCAGGTCCTAGGCTTCATGGTGGAGTTAGTCCCTTGGCTAGGGTATCTGCTTAAGCAGTAGGAGAGGAGTCATTTGTTTGTGTAACAAACCAAAACAAAACTCAGGAGCTCATATATGTACATCCTTTCCACAGTTCTGGCTCCTCCCACAGTATACATAAATTTGGCAAATATTTGTGACCTGCTTGTCAGGTGCCAGGCCTCATGCTAGCTGATGAAGATTCCAAATTGAGTATTCACAGTTAACTGCCTTCAAGGAACTCTGGTGAAGTGAGGAAGATAAACAAATAGACTCTTAAAGGTGCAGTCATAGCAGGATAATAACCTGTTAAAGGTGCAGTCATAGCACGGTAGTAGAAGACCAGTTTTTCTGGGAGTGTGCATGGCAGGAAGTGTCAGGAAAAGGTTCCTCCCAGAGATGACCCTGATACTAGGCCCTTAAAGTGATAGTACTCCTGGCAGAGGGAGAAGTCAGGTTCTTAAGGTTTATTTAATGCCACTTTGTTTAGGGAACAGATAGGTTCTCTATAGAAAGGCCTGGTTATATTAACTTGATTTATATATTTTTCTCTTTGAATAACTAATGTGGGTTTTGGCTTTTTTTGTTTGTTTGTTTGGTTGGTTGGTTGTGAGGCCTGAACTCTGGGCCTGGGCGCTGTGTCCCTCAGCTCTACCACTTGAGCCGCAGCGCCACTACCAGCTTTTTCTGCTTATGTGGTGCTGAGGAATCGAACTCAGGGCCTCATGCATGCAAGGCAAGCACTCTATCACTGAGCCACCTTCCCCGCCCCTAATGTGGGTATTAAATATGGAGCTCAAGTGGAGTAAGAGAATAAACAGTGAAAAATGTTCTTCTCCTATTAATAACTTGATTCCCTTTCCTAAAGGCAATATTTAGCATTTTCTTTATATCATTCCCAAAGGATTTTTCAGTGTATGCTTGTATTTGTTCAACATGTATCCTTTGAAAATATAAGCATGATGAGGGACAGTGCCCAAGCCCAGAGTAAGTTAAAAAAAAATCTATATATAGATATATGCATGAGTTCTCTATGGTGTTGAGCTCTGATAATCCTAGCACTTGGGAGGCTGAGGAAGAAGAATCTTGAGTTTGAAGTCAACCTGGGCAGCACATCAAGGTTGGGACCAGCTCAGAAAGTACCGCCCAGTTTTCAGGGTAATGTTTAAATCCCTCAACTTATCCCTGTCCCAAGACTCTATCCAGTAGTACTAGCTTGTACAGTCCTCTGTTCCATTTATATTTGGTACTTCCTCCCTCCCACCACTCCATATAGTCCTATACATCCCTTAGGATTCAATCTAGCATAAGCTCTTCTGGAGTGTAGGTAGCCTTTCCTGACTACCTACACTTGTGCACAAGACTCCTAAGCACAATTTGATGTTGCCTTATCTACTTGAGTATGTGCTGTGCATATGTTGTTCTTTTTTTTTTTTTTCCCTGGTGCCAGTTCTGGGGCTTCAAAGCAGGGTTTGTACTCTGCCTTAGCTTTTTCTCTTACTTGTAAATTGTTTAGAATACTGGTTATAACAGCTGGCACTCTATTACTTGAGGCATACCTCCACTACCAGTTTTTTGCTAGCTAATTGGAGATAACCAGCAGGCCGACTTCAAACCTTAATCCTCAGATCTTAGCCCCCAAAGTAGCTAAGATTACAGGTATGAGCCATGACTGCTCGGTACATGTGCTGTTCTGAGTTGTTGCCTTGGGAGGATAATGGATGCCTCATAGGCATTTCTAGTATGGCTGCATCTGAAAAGGCAGTACCATAGGCCGATTGCTAATCTCTCACTACTCAGTTGGAACCCTGGGCACATCCTTCAGCCTCTTTAGACCTGGGCTTCAGTATCTGTCAATTAGAAGTGTCCCTGTTGCTCAGGTCTTACTGGTAATTATAGTAATGGCAGCCAGGGATTACTGGGGATTCACATATTACATAGGGCCACTTTGTCAAGCATTTGCCTGCCCTTAATTTTTACATCAATCCAATGAAAACTATGTAGTTAATATCCCGAGTTCACAGATGAGGAAACTGGGGCTATGAGGTTCAGTGGCAGCCACAATTGTCCATGACAGAGAAGTATATTTGAATGTAAGCATTCTGACACTCCTATTCTCAGTCACATACACATCCTACACATTTATACATACAGTTTTGTGGACTGTTTGGATCTCTCACAGGCTTCTCCTCCAGACCACTCCCTGAATTACCCCATCTACAGCTTTAAAGGCTCAAGTTAGAGGGGATAAAAGCTGGGGACAGGGCTGGGAAGGTGGCTCAGTGGTAGAGTGCTTGCCTTGCATGCATTAAGCCGTGGGTTCAGTACCTCAGAACCATCTAAGTAGAAAAAGCCAGAAGTAGCACTGTGGCTCAAGTAGTAGAGTGCTAGCCTTGAGCTGAAGAGCAGAGGGACAGTGCCCAGGCTCAGAGTTCAAACTCCACAACTGACAAAAAAAAGACAAAAAGAAAAAAAAAAAGCTGGGGACAGAAGATGTTACAGTCACAGTTATCAAAGAAAGAAGGTCTGACCAGTGTTCTTGGTTCCTGGATAATGCTTACTAAAGGCTCTTGTAGCTGTCCCTCCTTCCAACTGAGAAAACTCATATTGGTATTTGCAGTGGCTTTCTAGAACAGGATTTAAGCCTGAGTCAAGTCATTGGACTGATTAAAGTCAGGTCTACTTAATATCTCTTGGTGGTTCCAAGAGCATTCTTAATTTTATTTTTTTATTTTTTTGGTCAGCCGTGGGGCTTGAACTCTGGGCCTGGGTGCTGTCCTTCAGCTCTTCAGCTCAAGGCGAGCGCTCTACCACTTGAGCTACAGCGCCACTTCCAGTTTTCTGGTGGTTTATTGGAGATAGGAGTCTCATGGTCTCTCCTGCCCGGGCTGGCTTTGAACCGCGATCCTCAGATCTCAGCCTCCTGAGTAGCGAGGATTACAGGCGTGAGCCACCAGCGCCCAGCTCCCAAGAGCATTCTTTATTAGGTGGCAGATGGCAGGTTCCCTTATGTGTGCATATAAAGCCATCTTAGTAGAAAAGGAAGTATATGGGATTTTTAATATGGAAGTATGATATTATGTACAATACTGCCTATAAACTAGAATATATTAATAACTAGGAAATGAAGTCAAATAAGTTAACTAAAATATAGTAGACCACCATTATAATGTATCATCAATCCAACCTTTCCCTAATGACACATAGAAAATAATGTCTATTATTTGTCCATTTGTCCATTAATTGATTTTATTTTTATCTTATTTTATTTATTTTTGTCAGTTGTGGAGCTTGAACTCTGGGCCTACGTGCTGTCCCTGAGCTCTACACTTGAGCCACAGTACCACTTCTGGTTCTCTGGTGGTTAATTGGAGATAAGAATTTCATGGACTTTCCTGCCCAGTCTGGCTTTGAACCTCTATGTTGAGATTTCAGCCTCCTGAGTAGCTAGGATTACAGGTGTGAGCCACTGGTACCTAGCTTGATTGATTGATTGATTGATTGATTGTCGGTCTTGGGGCCTGAGCTCTGGGCCTAGGAGCATCCCTCAGCTCTTCAGCTCAAGGCTAGCATACCACCACTTGAGCCACAGTGCCACTTCCAGCTTTTTTTTTCTGCTTATATGGTGCTGAGGAATCGAACCCAGGGTCTCATGCATGCAAGCCAGGAACTCTACCACCTAGCCAACTTCCCAGCCCTTGATTTTATTTTTTAAAGATAGTTTCTACTCTTCTGAAGTCAGACTGGGCTGGGTGCTGGTGACTTATGCCTGTAATTTTATCTGCTCAGGAAGTTGATCATAGTTGATCACGGTTCAAAGCCTGGCTGTGCAAGAAACTCCATGAGACTTTTATCTCCAATTAACTACCAAAAAGCCAAACGAAGAGCTATGGCTCAAGTGGTAGAATGCTAACAAGAAAGCTCTGGGACAGCATCCAGGCACTGAGTAAGAAGTCAGCCTGAACTAGAGTGGTAGGATTAATTACCAACCACAGTTTGTCCCATTATTGTCGGGGATAGCCAGCAGAATGCTGCGCTTCTTGTCACAGGCTTGTCAGGTGAGCCTTGATTAATTAGTCCATTTTTGAAATTCATTGCTGTGGAGTCAGATCTTCAGAGACTCCTCCAGCCTCTGCCAGGTTAGCAGCAGACTGTGTGGCCTTGGCTCCTGTGGTGCATTCCTTCTCTAGGTGGTGTATTTCTCCCTTTAAAGCACATGCTTTCTCTCTCCTCCCCACTCCTTTCTCTCTTTTTCCCCTTTGGGTTAGTTGAACTTGTTCTGAGTCCAAGTGGCAAAGGTAGAGCCTGTAGCAGCTCTGTCTCTGCTGGAACCACTGAAGCCAGCAGTGGGATAGAGCTTAAAAGTCTGAAAGCTCCACAATGCCTGACAGACATCAAGTTGATGTCCAGGTGAGCTGGAGCTGACTCCTGGCCCTATCATAAGGATCTGTCTCCTGTACAGGACTCTGATGGTAGCTGACTGCAGACTTTTGCATTTCCCCAGGAGGCTAAAAAGCCACTTCTGTGCTTGTCTATTCTCTTGACAGCAGGGATTCAATTGTTACAATTCTTTCAACTTTGTGATTATGACTGCCTTACCAAAGTGCATGTTTCCAACTAAGTTCTGACTGAAGTTTTCTTTACTTACCTTCTTGTTTTTTTGTTTTGTTACAGGTGAATCTACTCCTTGGCTGACTTTGGAATTCTTCTGTACTTAAATTTTTTTCTTTAAAAAAACACTTGGACGGATAAAAGATGTGCCATGGCAGGATAGCACCAAAGAGCAGCTCAGCATTTGCCGTGGCCTCTGTGGGACATGGAGTGTTCCTTCCACTGCTAATCCTTAGTACCCTGCTTGGAGACGGACTTGCCTCTGGTAAGTCCAGATCTGTCTTCGGTGTATTGGAGAGAGGGCCTTAGATAGAGGACTCTTTGGCAAGGAGCTGTGGAGAAAGTAGAGGATGTGTGTTGGAGGTGAGGGTGGGGTGCTGTGATATACAGCAGAGATTCAAGGGAGTCTTACCTCACAGTAGGTAAAGGTATCTGATGGTGATTACATTATTTTTTCATTTCCTCAGCAGGCAAGGTCTGGGACCTGAGGCATGATATACAGTGTTTGGAATCAGATTACCTGAATTCATAGTTTGTTCTTAGTCTTGTTCTGTTCTATGACCACCCTGAATAAGTCACTTTGTTCCCAAGAGCCTTTATCCTCCCCAGCTGTAGAGATAGTAAGTAGTAAGATAGTAATAGTACCTACCTCATAGGGGAAGTACTATAGAGGTACTGAGATAATACAGTTAGTACTTAATGATGGTTCACCCTGTGTATATGTGATGTGCATATGTGCTGGTCTTGAACTTGAATTTAGGATCTAGGCACTGTCCCTGAGCTTTTTTTGCTCAAGGCTAGCACTCTTAACCACTTAAGCCACATTCCACTGCAGCTTTTTAGTTGGTTTCTTATCTTTCAGTCCTTTTCCTTAAACTAGGTAAATCATTGAGGTATGTGACTTAGTGAAACTAGGACCTGGTAACCAACACAAACATCTTAGGCAAGTCATAGGATGCTATGGTATAGTTTTATCTGTCTGTTAATGAAAGGGTTGATCTGGGCAAACTTGAAGCTACTTCAAACCTCCTTAGTCTGTATGTACATGATTTTTAATGATTTGTGCTGTCTGTGCCTTTGACAATGCTCTGAAGACCCTTCTTACATATCTTCATGTGATCCTCCAGACCTGGCATCCTTTCTAAAAAGAATATACTTGGGTGTATCCAGTAGGCGTATGGGTGATATGCTAGAACTGCTTCTCTACCTATAAGTTCTGGTATGATCACATCACTGAGATCAACAGTAATGGTTGGTGCCTTTGCCAGACTTCATTAGAAAGGAGATGGCGATTTCTTGGAGCATGATCTCGGACCTAGATTCTGGAAGGAAACTTTCTTTAGTGGTGTTGGTAATAAGGAGTGGCATGTTGTAACTATTGAGTCCCCATAGCTCAGCATTATTTCTTTCATTACCTTTCTGTCAACTTCTACCCACTTCATAGCACATACAGATAACAATGCAAAGCAATTTTTTTCTTCAGAATTATTGTGAGAAACAATAATTGATTTGTTCTTGTCCTTTGATCATAGCATTTCCCATCATACACATACCTGTTTCTTTTTCTGCTGCTTCTCCTTCTAACCCATTCTGATATTAAACTTATACCTCCTTGTTAGGCATGAGGATTCCTAACACTCCTGGACCATGATGGTTAGGATCCTATAGTAATGAGGATCATGGTTGTATGAAGATTTCAAAGGAAAGAAAGACCAGACTATGTCAGTGCACATGTACAATATCAACAACATGAAGCAGGGCTTATATTAAATAGGCCATTTCAAAGCCAGAGAAGGCCTTTAGAAGTGGTAGTTACAGTATCACAGAGTGTAAAGTCTGTCTTTCTTACCATACTAACTCTATAGCAGAAGTTAGCAAACAGTGGTCTATGGGCCATATACTGCTTTTTTTTTTTTGGAGGGGGTGGGAGGCAGGTTATCTGCTTTTTAATTTTTTTTTTTAATTTAATTTTGTGTGTGTGTGTGTGTGTGTTAATACTAGGGCTTGAACTCAGAGCCTGGATGCTGTCTCTGAGCTTTTTTTTTTTTTTGGTCAGTCCTGGGGCTTGACCTCTGGGCCTGAGTGCTGTCCCTGCACTCTTGAGCTCAAGGCGAGCACTCTACCACATGAACCACAGTGTCACTTCCAGTTTTCTAGTGGTTTATTGAAGATAAGAGTCTCACAGACTTTGTGCCTGGGCTGGCTTTGAACCACGATCCTCAGATCTCAACCTCCTGAATAGCTAGGATTATAGGTATGAGCCACCAGCTCTCTGAGCTTTTTTTTCTTAAGATGTCATGCGTGTGTGTGTGTGTGTGTGTGTGTGTGTGTGTGTGTGTGTGTGTGTGTTGTGTGTGTGTTTGTGTTTGTGTGTTGGGCCACGTAGTTCTTGACCACGGCACCATGATGATCCTTGGGGGATTCCGTCCTCCAGAGCTAGACTTGGTGCTTCATGTCGAGAGACAGACTATCCAGCATAGTCCCTAGCATGGTACCTTCCCAAGTGAAGATGCTGAAGTAGGCCAGCATCTTTGGCTCTTGAGTGGTCAGCAGTTACTATAGTAGAGCTAGTATTATATGGGCTTGTGCCACCATGCCTGGTTTACCATCTGCTTTGTATATTTTTGCAGGCTATTTATATATATATATATATATATATATATATTTTTTTTATTTATTTTTATTTTTTTTTTGCTAGTCCTGGGTCTTGAACTCAGGGCCTGGGTGCTGTCCATGAACTTCTTTTCTCAAGGCTGGCCCTCTACCACTTGAGTCATAGCACCAATTCTGTATGTGGTACTGAGGAATCGAACCCAGGGCTTCATGTATGGTAGGCAAGCACTCTACCACTGAGCCATATTCCCAGCCCTGTATTTTTAACTGAATAGAAAAATTAGAAGAGTGCTATTTCATGACATGTGGAAATTATATGAAATTCAAATTTGTGTCCATAAATTAAGGTTGAGAGGAAACTAGCATGCTCATGACTATATTGCCCATCGCTACTTTTGTGCAACAGAGCTGAAAAGATATGACAAAGATGTCATACCTTTCAAAATCTAAAATATTTAGGCCTTAAAATACTTTTTTTTTCTTTTTATAAAAGAGCACCCTCCCAATCTCCAGCCAGCCAGCGTAGAACAGTTGGTACTCAGTAGGTATGTGCATGAATGGAAGCATTATCAAAGTAGAAAGGAGAGGAGGAAGGACTTCTCAGAGCTATGTCAGACTTGAGGTTAGGTACTTGTTTAGGGCCTTAAGGTTAATGGTAGACTAGTTCCAGAACCTGGCCTAGTACCTGGCATAGGGTTGAATCCTGCCTCTTCTAGGGCTCCTCTAGAGAAGCTGTCTTAGTATGTTAGGCAGCAGTATCAGTAGCAGAACATGAGAAGTCTTTAGCCTCTTTAGCTTCATTAAGCTGCTTTACATAGCCATCCTCTTTTTGTTTGTTTGTTTGTTTGAGACTGGGACTCAAACTTGGTATCAGGTAGGGTGCTTTCCTTCCATTCTCCACCCCATTTTTCTTTTTTTTTTTTTTTTATTTTATTTTATTTTTTTATTGTAAAGCTACTATACAGAGGGTCACAGTTACATGAGTGAGGTTATGAGTACACTTCCTCTTGAACATTGTTACCCCCTCCATTGTTTTCCCCCTACCATCCCCTCCCTCCCTCCCTTCCCCGAGGTTCTTTTTTTTTTTTTTTTTGATTCCACCCCATTTTTCATCTGCCCATACCTTTCCTACTTTCCACCCAAGGTCTGAAATCAATGATCAGGTTCCAGACTAGCTGGATAAAGGGATTATTATTCTCTAATGTGGAAAAAAAAAGTATCTGCAGTGTAGGCTAAAACTGAGATGGGAAAGTTGGCTCTGTTGTGTTGTGTTTTCTTTCCCCTCCCCTATTGCAAATATTTCTCTTATCACCCCAACACCCAGGTCTTTTTTTATTCCCCATAAAACATACTGGCATGAAGCAGAGTATAGGCAAGGAGAAGGGGATTCATTATTCACCACAGTGATGAGAATGTTTTTTCTTCTCTCTGGAGTGGTTTCTGTGGGAGAGAGATACCCATCCTTCAGCCTAAAACCTGGACACACCTGTATAATTGTGACTACCATAAGCAACATGCCAAGCAAGCTTGCCAGGAAGCCAAGACTTACTGTGAAGGCACAAGGAAAGGCAGTTTCTTTCAGGAAAAGTCCCGTCTTCTCTTTCCTGCATTTCTTGCCTCTTCCTTTTGCTGCTCTTAAACACTCATTCAAGAGACATTTTTAACTGGTGCTTGTAACATACATGGCCTTATTACCAATGGCACTAGTAGACTCTAGACATGTTCTTATGACATATAAATTCATGACTATGAGACTCCCACTGGACCATAGGTAAAATGAACTTCCCAGGGGCAATTTGCTGCCATTGTATCTCATCGTAAATATCACAGTCACATTCCAGTCAGTCATGAGCTCAGATTGAGTAGAAAAGAATTATGTGTGAACAGACACTTGAGCGGTCTGGGGTAAAATTATATTGTGTTTGGGTTTCAGTTAACATTCTTGTTTCTCCTCCTTTCCTCTCCCCCCTCCTTTTTTGTGGGTTGTAGGGCTTGAATTCTGCCTAGGTACTGTCTTGAGCCTCTTTATGCTCAAGGCTAGTGCTCTACTATTTGAGCCACAGTGCTCCTTCTGGTTTTTGAGTGCTTTATTGGAGATAAGAGTCTCATAGGGACTTTTCTGCCCACGTTGGCTTTGAACCGTGATCTTCATATCTTAGCCTCCTGAGTAGCTAGGATTACAGGCATGAGCCATGGCACCCAGTGATCCCCTCCCATTTTTTGAGACAGGGTCTCATCTTGTAGCTCAGATTGGCCTTCCCAACATGCTAGGACTATCTGTATGCACTGCCACACTTGACTGGTTTTTCTTTCTTTTCTTTTTTCCTTTCTTTTCTTTGCCATTCATGGGCAAAGAACTTGAACTCAGGGCCTGGGCACTGTTCCTGAGCTTCTTTGGCTCAAGGCTAGCGCTCTACCACTTGAGCTATAGCACCACTCTGGCTTTTTCTGTGTATGTAGTGAGGAATCGAACCCAGGGCTTCATGTGTACTAGGAAAGTACTCTACCACTGAGCCACATTCCCAGCCCTGGTTTTTCCCTCCCCTTCCCTTCCTCCTTCCCTCCCTCCCTCCTTCTCTTCCTGCCTCTGTCTCTTTCTTCCTTCCTTCCTTCCTTCCTTCCTTCCTTCCTTCCTTCCTTCCTTTCCTTTCC